TATTTTAAATTATTTAAATAGAGTATTAAAATTATTTTTATTTGTATATTCAGAATATTTTGCAAGATGTTAAAATAATAATATACTTTTATTCTACCACATAGAAACTGTAATAAAAGAAAAAGCATCTGGATCTAATCATATGTTACAACTATTATATACACCACCAAATTAAATGCTTTCATAGCTAGAAATGAATACATATTTATTACATTACTTTTAGTAATTCTGCTCAGTGCACAAGCACAAATAATTTCCAGAATATCTTTTCCTTTTACAAAATTACTCACAATAAATAATAATTTAAAATACATATACATTCTTTAAGAAACAAAATACTTAGTTTAAATTACCAATTTTGTACCATGTGCAGGCTTAAACGGCAGGCGAATTTTATAAGCAGCAGCATGTTAAATTCAAAATATTCATATTTGAAAAAAATAATGTGAATACGATGCAGTAGTTCAAGTATCCATTTAAATATACAAAAAGAGAAAACCATAAGTTAAAACAAAAAAAGAACTAAAAGATACCTAAATACCTGCAGTCGAATGAAAGAAAGAAAAAATATCTAATTCCAGCTAATAATTCTCCTTTAATTTAGGGTAGCTTAACAATTGGCATGCTTAATTAAAAGCAGTAGTAAGTGGTATTTATACTTCAATAAAAAAAACAGATGCCATCAACTAATGTAAGGAAAGAACGGAATCAACTGGCTGCTCAAACGGCAAAATGACAAGCATGTGTTAGACTTAAAATGGACAAAAATATATTAAAATTATTTCTACAACTGACAGGAAAATGCGTAAGAGATTTACAGAAAGTAAGTGAGTTAAAGTAGCAGTAATAATAATAAAATAAACTAGGTATGATTTAAAAGCTCAGATTTCTACTGGATTTGATTTTGCAAAAAATTTTAAACATGAAGGGGACAGAATTAACCATATATCATAGCTCAAAAAACAAATTCATTTTGTTTGATCAAATACAAGCTACAGTTTGGAAAGTTCATTCCTTGTGCAAGATGTTCGAGAGAAATAATTTGTAAACACTTGTAGAAAGAAAACTACATAACTACTTCACTCTTGGTTTAAAGTAGCACAGAAGATATCATCTCACCATTAGCATTATAAGTTTTTAAACAATAAAATGCTAAAATTGGCCATATGCTACTTGGAAAATGGATTGAAATTCCATAATATGCAAAATTTATGGCCACAAGATTTATTAACACTTTGCCCATGAAATTAAAATAGAAAATCCCTTCTTTTTTTATTATTATTACTTTTTATTTTTACTTCAGAGTATTAAAAATACAAATATATTCTTTAGTTAAAGGTGAAGTGAATGAGCCAAGTAAAATTATGACATTATTCCACAGAAACTGAATGTTGATGCAATTCTCATACCGCGGATAAGGTAGAGATAGTATAAGATAGTATGGTTACATTCTGCAAGACTTAATTTTCATAAAAAATTATAATATAAACAGGTCTCTCAGTGTTTCCCCAACTTTCTCTAAAGAGAGAAAAGGGAAAGTTGCTAAAAATGAGCAATCAAACTTAAGAAGTTGAAATATTTGTTTATTTAATAAAATACTTGAAAATGTTCAGGAACAAATTTCCTTCAGAATATTTGATGATTTGAAAATGGAATTTATTAACTTGAAATTTGTTGATTAAAAAACATTTAAATTTTATTAATCCCTTTATCAACTTTTACTAATGCATACGATAGACATATATAAACCTTTATTTCCACTACATCTATTTGTACAAAATTAATATGAAAATTTACATTTTAACTACTCAGTTTATTCAAACTGATAACCCAGCTAACAATTTGCACAAATTTGCAATTAATCATTTTAACACTAGATCTGCAGGTAATTATTTATAATCTTATGCAATGAGATAAAAAAAAGTACATTAAAAAATCTAGATTTTTAATAGTCATGTTAGACATTTCAACCACTTGTCAAAGTTTTTTTTTTTTTTATTTTATTTATTTATTTATTATTTTTTTAAATAAGGATAATCAGAAAAATTTATGCAAAAATCATTTAAAGAAATAAGAAATCATGGTTAATAAAAGAATTTTATTTTTTATTTTATTCAAATTCTCCTTCTTTTAAATTTTTTGAAGGAAAATTACTGATGTTATAAAAAGAAACAATAGAGGCTGTTAACAATTATAACACACCTGAGGGCCAGAAGATTAGAACTTGAAATTTGCAACACTATTTTTTCCAATAAGTTAAAATTTCAATAATTTAAAATTCATCAGCCTCTCCACAAAGAAAAATAAATTTATAAAAAGCATACAAAACAGAGCAAAATAAAACTAAAACATAAACACATAAAAAGAAGCAAATATCTAGAATAAATAAATCATAAAATCAAACATAAATCAGAAAAATATATAAATATCAGGATTCACTTCTTTAATTCTAATTTTAAGATGAAAATTTTAAAAAAATTACAGATTCATATAAATTATTAAAATGGCAAAGTGTAATGTATTTAAATTATTTTCTTTTCATTTATAGCTTAATAAATCATGAAGTGACAATTTTAAAAGAATTGAGATTAATAGTAGAGAGTTCAAAGTATTCAAAACTTCTTAATCCTAATAGTATTTAAAAGTTCCCAATCCCTTGAGTTACTGGACATAAATATGTACTGCTACTTTTATAACATAAATACCCAAATGATGTTATTTTTCTGAGAAAAATTGCAAATTACAATTAAATAACAATTTTTTTATATAACGGCATTTAGAAATAAATTGCACAAAGAATAAAAAGCTGCAGAAGCACACTGCAATGAAAGTTAATCAGAAATAACTCTGGGAAAAATACAGGTAAGATTAGATTAAAAAAATAGAAAATCAGATTAAAAATGTTTTGGGCTTCAAATTAAATTCTAAAGAACAAAATGCTTTGAAAAATAAATTCTGCTTCATGTTATGAGTTATTAAGGAAGGAAACATACACTCCAAAGTGCTCTTTTTATAACCATTATGTACAGAATTAGAAATAAGCAAGAACTTGAGCAATAGTAAATGATGAAGTAGCACTTGCTATTTTATGTCACTAGCCATATGATTTTTTTATTTCTTTCTTAAAAAAAAAAAAAAAAAAAATTCAATGAGATTAGAAATATGTCTACAGAAAGGGGCAGACAAAAAGGAAACATCAATCAGTTATCAAGAAAACGCATATTTAGTCAAGTTAGCCAATAAGGAAAGCATATCTTTTAAATGCAAAAACAATTAACACTGAAAGCCTTTAGGTCTATATTGAAGAGAAATTTTGCAAATCGGGTATTTTCTTTGCCTTCAAACAGCATAGTGGATTCACCACTATCATTCACCTTCACCAAACTAGTTTTTATGTCCACACAATGCATCACATGAATTAAATATGTATCACATTCACACTCACCTAATAAATGTAGGAATATTTCTGAGGGTTGCAGTATATGCTACTTAAACTATTCTTTTCTGAATTTAACAGGTTTTAAGAGAGTTCTTGCTGCGCTTTGAAGGGTTCCTAAAAAGTTTTTTTGGTCCTAAAAAGTTTTGAGGAAAAATTAGAAATTTGTTAATAAACCCAAGAAACTCGGTTAGTATGAAAACAAAAATTGGTTAGTAAAAAGTTTGATGAAAAACCACTGCAAATAATAAGTGTTTGTGAAGAGAAAACTGGCACTTATACCCAAAAGAAGAGGTATATATAATTTAAATGTTCAGCTCAAAAACAATATTAGACCAAATAAATAGCGGCTATAGAGATAAAAATATCTACATTTGATAAAGATGGGGAATATAAATTTTTTTCTTTAGAATTCATTGGTAAGAGTATATTCAACTACAGAGAATTATCCCTGTTTCATAAACTTGCCCACGTTTTTTAACCAAAGGCCACTACAAAAGTAACATAAAGAAAAAATATTATGACAACTTTTATACATAAAATAAAAACATACAACAAAAATAATAAAAATAAAAAATAAAAAAAATAAAAATATATAGTACACATGCTTTGACAATGAACATATTCTTCCCATGTTCATTGTCAAAGCATAAAAAAACACTGAAAAGAAAAAGAAAACACCAAAATATATAATAAATATAAAGAAACACCGAAATTTACAATTCAGTGGGAGTTGCTTAGTTAGTTACCCAGCATTATGTTTCTGTCCGATAAAATTTTCAAAAATAACGTTTAATATATAAAAGCACAATGAAATTTTGTTGGTGTAGGCATTCTTACACTTGATAGAAATGATCACATGCAAGATTTTTAATAAGTTTATCATTACCAACTCCTTAAAAATGTTTAAAAAATAGATCGATTGCTACAAAGTTTCCTTATTATAGCAAAAGCATCAATTTAACATCCTTTGAGAGATGATAAAATAACCAATATCTTTCATTACTGAAGAAACTGGATTTCTAGTGCTTCTTTCTTCTCTGCAGTTTGTATGTGAGAATCTTATGTGACCGAAAAATTATTAAATCAAGCTGGAGATTCTGAATTTGCAAGGTAATTACACTTTTATTTCGAAAAAGCTAGATTTTTTTGTTATAAACTACCCATTATTGTTACAGAAATTTAAAAGAAATGCATATGAAGTCTTTAATCCATTTCTATACAAATAGCACCTTATTAAAAATGCAAATTCTGTACCATAGCTTTACACAGTCGATAGATATCTAAGTAAACTTTAGAAAATAAAGCAATGGGAATAACTTATAAAGTATGTAGTGGCCTTTGAAAAATAATTATGCAGGCTGTAATCTAAAAAATTAATATTGTATATGAACACAAATTCTAAAAATTTTTACATAAGGATACATGCAAATTTTGTTCCCAGATATTAAGAATATTAAATGAGAAATATTTCTATACCATGCTGCTTGCATAAAATGTTTCCTTGTCTACCCCTTACTGTAGCAGAACTGTTGATAATGAATTATAAAACAAATTGACTTACATCATCAGCTTCACTACAGTGGTCATAAGCCATGCTGTCTAGAGATTCTCGGGAGCCTCTGCGGCTTAATTCTTTAGACCTTCTTTTTTCCTTTGGAATAGCAGTCAGATCAGCACTTAGAAAATGGGGAGACTTACCCTGTCTACCTGAGTCCAATGCCTGAAGTGAAGAACATAATTTTATAAAGATGCTGATTTGTTTTAATATAATAAATTACAAAATAAATGGAACTATTTTTCCCTTCTTAATGCATAATCAATTCTTAAACTTTTAAAGAATACACAAAATTAGGGAACTAAGTTAATCAATCTTATTACCCTTCTTGTAAACATAATACAACACATTATCATTGTTAAATATGAAAACTTTTGATTTATTACTTCCAGAATATTTACACTATTCATCACAATATAATAAAAGGTCATTAAAATGATTATAACATACTAGTAGCAGATGTGATAAGCATGGCATAGATCTAATAGAGCACATGTAATGTATTAACAACATAATAAAAGAAGAAAAATATTATATGAGTACAATAAGGCATTTCGAACCTTATGAGATTAACCCATTAGCCGTTGGTGTTGCATTGACGCAACCCTCAAAAGAAAAAAATATAACTACCAAAGATTTTTCATACTAGCAGATAATTTCTTGTGAGAAATATTATGAAAGTTATTTCTGTAAAAAAATTAATTTCAACAATAATTAGTCTTGTACATGAAGCAAAATTTAAGCAAAACTTTTGACCAGATATTTTTGACAAAAAAATTTAATTGAAAGAATCCGGGGCTTTAGGGGTGATCTATTTTTAGCCAAGGTCACTGCCTGTCAGAATATTCTGCCAATCAGCTGTTTGTATTTGTATGGGGATGGAAGGGAAAACAGGTGTTGTGCTGGCATAACGTCAGCTGCAAAAGAGTATTCCCCTATTTTACTCATGCTTTTAGATGTACTGGTTGATATTCTTTCCATGCAATGCCTAGAATAAGGTACCTTACATGAGAAGAAGCCCTTCAAAGACTTTTTGATGAAGAAACAGATGATAATTCCAGAATGAAACTGATATTATTGTTGTTCCCAGGACTTAGAAGAGAAGGGCTAGCTCATAGAGCTTTTCCCCCTGAAGCAGAAAGTGAGAAACGATGACACTCAGCGCAGAGATGCAATTCACAGCTCAGAAATTAGCGTTTTTGAACCAGCGTTTAAAATGAGCTGCGTGTGAGATAGCTATAATTCGGAAGAGACAACGTTACTGCTGTATGCATTTTACACTGAACCATTAAAAATTCATAATACGTACTCAATTAAAATATAGATAAAATGTGCTACTCTGTTAATAGTGTTTTTTTTTTCGTTTTTTATTTAATGCTTTATCATTTCTTATTGCATGCTACTGAGAGATTTTTATACAGCTTCTAAAATAAGTAATAGAGCTATTTAATTTATCAAAAAACAATTACATTGACATAGTTTTAAACATATATATGACATATATAGCCAAAATTTTGCTAATCAACGTTTAATTTTTTGCCTAACTGTAAATTTTACATAGTATTTCTCTTCTGATTCAATATAATACATATTTTTAAAATAATTTAGTAATTATACTAATCTATATTACAATTAATAAATGTATATAAGAGTTACCTTAATTTTGACAAAATAGCTTTACCACACCAGTACCTAAAACAGTTATTAATTTTTCAAAAGTGTATAAAGGAGCAGTCTTTTTATACCAATACTTGATGTTTTACATTATATTTTATCTACTAAATGTAATCTAAACAAAATCAAATTAATAATTAGTACAAAGGATACAATAAGAATAACTTAACAAGTACTTAAAATTAGTTTGTTAAGTACTGTATTCTTGTTGGTACTATTTTGGTACCATTCATAATACTGAAATCTATCAAAATCATAGAAGTCAGAGCTTTTGATTTCCTGTGAGGGGAGATACTTTTGTGGTAGTTCTCGAAAAAATTTTTCTGGAGTGACTTTTTGTCTTTCGTTCCCTTGAACCGTTAAATAATCAGTTTAGTTTGTGATACAATTTACTCTCAATCTCTATTTAAAACCTTTTTAATAATATCAAAATTTAAAAACAGTTACATCTTCTAAAACAAATCCTTTATCTAAAACGTGATTTCTCAGTAATTTGAGGCAGAGCGAAATGCGACCTCTGATTTAAAACAAACTGCACATTTTGAAAAGCACAACTTGGTCAGTTTAGAGTCATAGCGGAGCTTTCAATCATACGCATTCGTCAAAACTGAGAAGCATATTTTCTACAGAATTCAAATATTCGCTCTTTCTTCTTTAGAGTAAGAACATTACTTTGAATTCTTGTATTACCTAAAATTTAGTGCATATTCTTTTAATGATAATACTAGGTAAAAGACATTCCATTTTTTTATTTCCAAAAATCATAGCTTTAAGAGAACAGAGCTCTTATGATAATGCAACATGAAAATTTTCCTAGTCCTGATTTTTTTTCTTCTTTCAGCAATGAATTAATCTGCATCATTTACATTTCTTTCTTTAACATTTTCCAAATTCTTGCTTGTACCGATTCTGATGAGCGTGGGAAGGTAGCTAGAAATAGATCAGCAACAGGAAGACCTAGTAAATCAGCATTCAAAAGCTATTGCATGGAGATAGTGGACATTTTATCGGAGGATAACAGAAGACTTCGTTGTAAAGAATACCATAGCCAGAATGCTATATATTGCAAATAGTAATGCAGCTTAATCGTATTGTGGTAAAACTTTCATGTTAACTTTCAACTGAAAATAACTTGTATTTGTAAAAGAAATATATTGCAAATTTCAATACTAAATTAATTACAAGTAAACATCTAAAAAATATTCCAGTGCTCCACTCAACGAAAACTAACACGGATTAAACTTTAATTTGGGATAGCATGAGACACACTTGATTTTTCCACAGGCAAGAGCACTTTTTTTTTTTTTTAAGTGTAAATTTATGTTATAAATGCTATTAAAGTCAGTAGAAAAAATCACTCCTTGATAATTTGGCAGGGGCAGTTAGTGAGTTAAGACAGAACTGAATTACATAACTGGTAGCCTACGAATGGTAAAAAATGATGAAAATATTGATAACCTAATTTTTTGCTAAAAATATTCTTTAATGCCATTATTACAATGAGAAGATTTTTGAAAACAATTCTGACAAATGGCATGAAAAGTACTTTAATCATTTTGACAGCTCTTTAAATGTTCAATCATGAAATAAAAAACAGAATCCAATCCCTAACTAAAATACAAAAAACTATATTCCTGAGGGAAAAGGGGTTCCCTTTTAAAAGAATATTTTTTATAATCACATTTTGTGTCCTAACGACCTATGTGATACAGTTTTGTAAAATGGCAATAAGCTATTTGAAGTTGAGAGAAAAAAACAAAAAGACAAAAAAAACAGCAAAAAACGTGAACCTATACAACCCACAACCAAACAAAAATCAGCCAAAACAAACTCCATACACAGTTATTTAATAAAAAACAACAACAAAACCACCCACCATTTTACAAAACCAATAAGAATACACAACAAACACTAAAAACAAAACAAAAAAAAATCCAAACCCCATAATACACGTCGCGTATAGAAACTACAAAGACAAGAAAAAAAAAATAAAAAAACCACAAAAACCACACATCAAACAAAAAAAAAAAACCCTAAAACTCAACCCAAAAAACAACACCAAAAAAAAATAACATAAAAACCAAATTTTTTACAATCACGCCATGCCCCAACCAACTCCGCAACCCTTTCCTATCTCTACAAAACATCGAGCCAAAAAACAAACAAACAAAACTAAAAAACAACCAAAAACCAAAAAAAAAAAAAAAAAAAAAAAAAAAAAACAAAAAAAAACAAAAACAAAACAAAAAAAAAAAAAAAAAAAAAAAAAAAAAAAAAACAAAAAAAAAAAAAAAAAAAAAAAAAAAAAAAAAAAAAAAAAAAAAAAAAAAAAAAAAAAAAAAAAAAAAAAAAAACAAGAACAAGGAACTAAAAATTAAGACCTCTTTCTAGCCCTTCAGAGCACAATCTTCGAGGAGGATCAGGCAGATTCATATTTGACTTGCCTTCTATACAATGCCCCTAAATTTTTTAATGTAGTTGCCACTGTTGGGCTGTTGGGGAGAGAAATGTTTTTAATATAGAACATTAGCTAACAAACAAAAAATAAACAACATGAAATAAAATATCTTATATGCAAAGCATAGTATTCTCAACTACAGCGATCAAATTAAAAAAGAAATTATAGGAAACGTACAAAAAATATCCCAAGAACTAAAGATGTCCCAAAAATTTGAAATTATTAAATATTTTGATAGCATTTTAAAGGAGATGCCTGAAGAAAATCATACAAAAATATCCTAATTCTGACTGTTCCTTTTAAATGTTTATAATAAAAAAAATATTCTAAATTCGAAAAATACATAAAAATGTTATTATAACGCTGATTTGTCGTCAAAAAAAGCAGATGAACAAAATTTAAATGTGAGAATCTCATGAATTCTAAACGGGAATTGAAGTCGTGAAAATTCATAAATTAATTTTTTTAAGAGAACGCTAATTCTCGGAAGGCTTCTACCCAGAAAAGTGAAACAACTTCCAAGCCGGAATTCATCAAGCCAACAAATTTGGGCACAACTATCCCCTATGTAATAAAATTGAAGTTGTTGGAACTTTCCCTTCTTTGTGAAAGCAAAAAATCAGTTTCGGAAAAATGCGTTGTTTCCGGAAGAAGGAAAGAGTTTAAAGGCATTCTAAACGGTGATTTCTTTGTGTGAGGAACTGTAGAACAAAAAATTGTTCAGTTAAAATGTCAAATGTAATCGAGTATCAAATAATGTTGCATGAAGATAAGGAAAGGGTGTAAGAAGAAATAAGAATCATCAAGCAGTAAACAGCAAAGATTTCAAATATTTTACTGCGAATCAAGAAGAAGGATAAGATGATGCCAACCGTTAAATATACAGATGGTAATTAATAATGGTAGCAGATAAGGCAGCAATTTCATGTCAAGCTGACATACCAAAAATACGTACGCCACATGGAAGGTATCTCACGTCAGCTTCAGCAAGATGTAAAAGCTCCGCATTAAATACCTTGGATGGATTCTAAGATGATAAATTGGCACCTATTTTATAACAGGTGCAATGGTGGATAAGTAGGTAGAGTTACTCGGTCGTTAAGTGTTTAATGAGTGAGGGGAGCATAAAGAAGGTAATTGTGATGAAAAATGAACATGACTAACGAGTTCGTTGAAAGGCCTTCAGAACGGGAAATGTGATCAAACGGGACCGATAGGGCCTTAAGAAATGTAATGAAAGTGAAGGAGGAATGTTGTTCTTGTATATGAAGATGCAGGTAAGGATGATTCAAAGGGCACGACACATCATGTGGTCGCATCAAACGCTTTCGAGGGCAAAGAAACCCCATCTTAAAACATGCTGGCAAAATGCAGAACGGAAGTAATAACTTTATTGGTGACCACTTTTGGATCTAAAGTTTAGGAGAAAATTTACCAGAGTCGCCTAAAGAAAGAAAAAACAAATTTGGGACTTGGCTCATTTAGCTTAGGGGGGAAGCACTGCGAACCAAAGACACCGACGGAGATTCCTTCTATTGGTCTGAAACAAGAAGATGAAATGAATATGCAAGATGTACTTATGCACTCAAGCGAAAAAGCTCCCTTTGAGAAGTTCTGATACGCAGTAAACGCCTACAGAACCAGCAGGTAAATGTGGATATCCTGGACTGTAGAGCCAAGCTGAGAGGTACAAATAGGTTCAGTGCTGTTGATCAATGTACAACAGGCCCGAAGCGTGCCATTGAAGAAATATGAAGGCCAAACGAACTGGATGCATGTTGCAAATCTTTCACGCCAGGAATCCTCAGTATTGTTAGATCAAGGAACTAAGTACTGCTTGGTTTTGAAAGGATGGATCGCCCAAGGTTTGACTCCTTATCATCGAAGTTCAAATGGCCAGTAAAGATTAATGTGTTTAAAGGGAGAACATCACCATTAGGGAACATCCCAAAGATGGGAGAAACAGCTACCTACTTAGCGGCGACGAGAAGTCTAAGCTCGAGTGATGTTAGACCTTTTCAAAGGCGGGAGGAAGACGCCTAATGGCCTTGGTATATGAAAAGTCATGGACGGAAACTCCTGTTCCTCAGACAGCAACCCTCAATTACTGATTATCTGAATGAGTGAAGATGAAATTGGAAAAAGCTGGCTAAGAGAGTAGGTTGGACATTTGGAACACAACGGTGATCCTACCGTAATGAAAGAGCGTCATAAGATTCAGAAGGGACAGGGTTATAGTTTAATCTGATAGTCAAACAAAGGTAGCCAGATGGACGGGACCAGCGACATAATCAAGAGCATACTGATTAGTACATATTACAATGCTACAATCCTCGAAGCGGGCGCAAACAAATACGAGAGTTCCGACGTGGAATAATGTCGGTGTGATATATGAAAGAATGACTGCGGTTGAAAAGCCAAGAATGTTCCACGGAAAGCAAAAGAACACTATTCTATGGAAAGATTTTACCTTGAACATAAGAGGAAGAACTAGGAAATTTTAAGAAGCAAACCTAAGAGCTGGTATCTGAAAATGCCAATGTGGGAGAACACAGCATCAAACCTGAAACCGGAAGATGCCAAAAAGCAGAAACTGTATCGAATACCTGAAGTTCTAAGAAAGAATTGATCTCAATAGATAGCATACATTTAAAGCTAACGATGATCAAAGTGAATATGTGCATCCGTAGTTTGTTATCAAAATAAAGGTACATGGTAGACTAAAGACTATGCTGAGTTTTTTAAGAGCAATGATTATTCCACGAGGAAGATGACTGACTTATGAACTATACTAAGCCATTTTGAGTTTAGGTGAACACTTGTCTTTTTGAGCTAAAGCTTTTTTTTTTTTTTCTAAGTATGTAATATGTTAAAGATAGCCCGGGTGATAGGCATTTAAATGATGATTGCATTGTCTGTTTATATGAAACTGCTTACATGATTATATGTGAAGGATTTAATGAAAACTTGGATGTTACTCTTTTAAATGAATAGGATTACTGAATTTATGTTGAAGTATTTTAATTTAAAATGGTAAGAATTGGTTAATTAGTTCGAAATTTCATAATGTATTTTTTTTCAAGAAATGTTATAGTGGGATTTGACAGGTCTTGAAGACGCAATCAACTCTTTTATAGGAGGGTGTATGACTGATGACTACACATCGCAGTTTACCGAACGCCTGCAACGCCTCTCTCTCATGTGACTTACTGAGAAGAGTAGTTTATTAGTAGTGATAGCCAAATTAATGAAGTAACATGCTGTATGCCAGCGTGGATGAAAATATGCAGTTATACTTTTGTGTTAATCGTTTGTTCTTATTATTTTGTTCGTGTGTTAATAAAGTCTTTGTGCCATTAAATGTTTGGCTTTATGCAATGCCCACATTACGATACGTCTACAGTAAAAATTAAATATATATCCAGAACCTACACACCCAAGAAGCAGGATATGACAAATATATATAAAACAAAATAACCCTATAAGTACATATTTGTTATTTATATATAAAACAAAATAACCCTATAGGTACATATTTGTTATTTATATATAAAACAAATATGTACCTATAGGAAATAGATAAGGTCTTCAGCTTCCTAGTAGGATCACAACTTGTTTCATTTTACCCTCCAAATTTGTTAGCACATTAACATTTTTATTGTGTTATGTGTCTAAGGCAACTATTGTATGAAGCTGGCTCTTCAAGATGGAATCTAAAAATATGCATACACTTAAAAGTGTAATGGTTTTGATACCGATATCACTGCAAGTGCATAATTCATCTCTTCGACTATGTCCTGCTAGAGATAAACCTAAGTAGTATTTGTCACTAAGAAGAGCAATGATTATTTTAGGAAGTAATAAACTGCTTTTAGCTCAAGTTTGACGCTATTTAACTGTGATTACATCATTAATATTGCTATGATCCTGAGTATGATACTATTTATGTACATTTAGATTTTGCAGTTACATTTTTAGTAGACAAAGCCACACTACAGGGTTTTATGGCTTGCACGTTAACGTCTGTTGCAGATCATTTTATTTATTTCAGCAGTTTATACTGTAACCCCTAGACAAAATTTAAAAAGTTAATATCTTACAAAGTTAATGAATCTGCTCAAAACAGAATCATTGTTCAAAATGGAAGCCACGCTACTACTTAAAATCCCTAACCTTAACTATATTTAGCCACTGATCATCATATATAAATTTTGCAATTAAAATAAATGAGAATATACTTCTCTACCCCAAATTATGCCTAATTTGAAATTTGTTTTCGTTATGCAGCATTTTCTTTGTGCAGTAGGGTGTAACCAACATTTTACAATAAAAGGAACAATAAAACTAATCTTCTCCAAAATAAATTATTCACAAACCTGTCAACTTTAGCAGCCTTATGCCATCCACCATATTCTCCATAAGGAGAATTTTCTTTCTGTTTATTTTTATTTTCCTCCCGTTCTTCTGCTACTTGCCATATTGGTTTATTCTCTCCTGAAATATAAATTAAAAGAATGTTTGCATTTATTACTATTCCTACACAAACACACAATTTTACATTTTTAGTTGCATAATTAAATTTAATGCATATAAGTATTTTAATTAAATAATAATACCACAGAATCCCTATTATTAAAGATAACATTGAATGATGATACCTCAAATCAATGAAAACTCTGACAAAATAGATAAACATGTATTACCAATTTATTACAGTTAAGCCTCTTTCTCGTATTTCTTTAAATTTAATATTATATAATTTAAAAAGGAAAAAATGCATACATTCTCATATACGTTTTTAGAAATTACTTTTTTATTACTAAAACAGACAGATTTTAAAAATAAAAATTATTATTATTTTATGAATGTGAAAGTATATCTTATGCTGAAGCTAAAAATACAATGTTAAATTTTATGGGCTTGGCCTGACTACCTCAGACAAGTGAGCATAAGCAACAACATACAATGTTAGACTATAACAAAAATAAATCAGTTTGGTGAATAAATTTTCTAAATAATTTTTAGATGCATTATATTATGCCAAATGAGAAGGGTGATATTTCCTGAGGTTTATACAAAAGAATCATTATGTAAAAGTCATAACTTAATTTTCCTTTCAGCATCAAACATTTAAAGGTATTTTTTTCTCAAAATAATTTTACATATTTTGTTTTAGTAGAATGCCAATGATGTTTCTCAACAAAAAACTTTCTACACAAAATCCATTTAAGTAATCTACTTTGGAGTAGTTTTTCTCCCAGATTTTCCAGAATTATGAGGAAACATTACAAATTCAAATAAAATGAATTTAATGTATACTGTAATAAAAATATTATGAAAACATACCATCAATGCTACCAAATTCTCTTTCATGAGCTCTTGTAAGTACTTGTTTATATAAAATTTCAGCTTCTTTGTACTTCCCTTGTTTTAAATACGCAGATGCCTGAAAACCAAAAATTTATCAATATAATTTTACACTAAACATTCAAGAAATGTTCCAAACAGAAATGAAATTGAATTCATTTTGGTAAAGAATTAACACTTTCAAATTCCTTTCATCCAAATTCCTAAATGTACACTCTTAAATTCCAACAATAAACAAATTCCTTTTCCTGAAAATCATAGATGCTTCACTTCTTAGTTCAATATCAGTTTTCTAATATAGTACACTAATAACATTAAATTTTACCAAAGACATACAAGCACAGGAATTGAGGTTGCTCTTCTTTGTTCTCATAATTTCAAAAGAATTCATCTTCAATAGAAATTTTTATTTCAGAAGCTAAGCTGAATTCAATTATCACCACAAAATTTTATAACTATTGCTCATGTACATTTTCCTTTGATAATTTCATCTAATCACATTCTTAATAATATGCATACTGTAAGGTTATAAGCATTAAAACAGAAAATGCAAAACTATAGTTATATAAAATACACTTTACTAAACAGATGTATTTAGCAAACATTTATTAAATTAACATACATTTATATTGTAACATTAAAAGTATCATATGTACAGTAAAAACCCAACTACCTGGCATTCAACTGAAGAAGTAGCCCGAAAATGTTTTTAATTGTCATTTTTTTTTTCTTAATGGGAAACTTGTGAATCCATCACAAAGCATACATTAACTATAACTCAGAGCTCCACTGATAACATCTCAAATATGAATATAATTACATGTTTCTCTTTCAGATGTTGGTTACCCCCCAACACACTATTTATCTACCACAGCAGTCCCCAATCTGAGTTCTCCCAGGAAAATAAAATAAATAAAAATTGATGAAATTAAGGAATAAAAAACTAAAAAAAAGAGAGAGAGAGAGAGAGAATTAAAATGGAGGGGGGGGGAACTAGTAATTACATTCTGAACCAGAATTTCCCAAATTCAGTTTTATGTTTTCTTTAGCAAACAATCTCATTTGTTACAGGACATGTGATGCAATCACATTGTTTATAATGTAAAACATATGAAAACAAATGTTTCAGATCTCTTAACATGTTCCCCTTTCTCACACCTTAGACAGTAGATATAGCCAGTTGTGTGACTGTTGCTTGTTGCAACTGACTTGATCAGTGATGCTGGCTGCCTTATCTTTGGACCAGATCTAGATATTTGGACAGGTATGAATATAACGTTTGTGCTGCATAGGGCATTTAAAATACTGGTGAACCAAAAGTCCTTTTGAGAGCTTTGGTATTTAAAAAAAGAAGGGTGAAAGATCCTCATATCCATTGCTGAGGTACTCTCTCTATCAAAATTACAACAGCATGTAGAGTTACTGCTTTGAAATTGAACCTGTGAGGAACCCCCGTTCTTACTGTAACAGGTAACATTCTGGTGTTCCACCCACTTCTACCTATACTTCTTGCACAAGAATTCAAAGCTTTCATAGTTAACAGACTGATGTTTCATCTGATTTTCATTTTGACTAATTTGACCATTTCTTATGGTCAGGTCAAGTACAAGATATATGTTTTAATGCACATTTAACATTTTGTACACAGTAATAAAAACTTAATTATATGGGTTAAAATTTGAATTATAACAGATCAAATTTACAATTTTAAAATGTTTTTAGTAAACAGAAAAAAAAAAAAAAAATTAAATAGTTTCTAGGTCAAATTCAGCACTTTTGATGACATGGTAAATATTTAACGCAAAAAAAGATTGCTTCAGACTTTTAATCAAACTGCTGAATGTCTTATTATTCTGCATGAAAGTGTTGGAACTTTACTTACAGAAGAAGACTTGGAGAAACATTTTTTAATTACAAAGTAGAGATTCAATGGCTCTTTTGGGTATAGTTCCCACAAACAAGTATTCCATAGACCTAAAGCCAATGATTCAGCTGTGTTTATAACACTTGACTGTTCCTCTTCATTTAGTTACAAAGCTATCATGATAGCAATAATTATAAAGCAATCTCGTGTAAGGAACTATAGGCCTTTGATAACAAGACTTCTCAGAAAGAAGAAAACAGAGTTCTGAAGATAAAAAAAAAAAAAAAGAAAAAAAAAGAAAACGTAGTAGTAAAGAAATCAGCATAATACTGTTTTACATTACAGCAACTTAGTGACTTGAAATCAATGTAAAAATGTTATTTTTTAGTGACTGATGATCTCTATCACTGATACTTTGTGTATAATGCTACATTTGTGGCACAAAACTAAAAAATAAAAATAAATAAAAATTCTACTATTGATAAAACAATAAACAAAGAAATAAAGAACAAAACAGTACAATTTGGAATATCAGGTCCCAATAACATTATGTTTCGGCTATGCGGGACATGACGAAAGAGTCGAAATTTACACACTAGGTACTACAAAGATTTGAACGCCAAACAATAATCGATTATCGCTCAAATTGGGATCACATGATCCTTCAGAAGCAGAGCTTTTGTCTGATTGGTTGTCTCTACCCGGGACCTGAGACATTTTCCAGTGCTACCAGAATCTCGTTTCTCAGAAAAGTCCAGTCTAGCAGGGATTGTAGCCATATGCGATAACCTCTTAAGTAATACAGAGATGGACGCACTTTTTCCAATTGCCTGCTAACACTTAGCCAATAAGTTTCCAGTTTTAAAAAAATCTGATGTGGACACCACGACTTCCTTGCATGCCCTATTAAAAAATACACATTTTTTGCTGCATTTCATTTGAACTTATGAATTTTATTAAAGATATATGTCTCAATCAATTAATTTAGTCTTCATTTTGTGGTAAGGGGAAAATACATAACAACTCGATGTATCTTCAGTAAAAATTGTAAAATGCAGAAAACCTAAAACACCAAATACACTCTTTTGGGGAAAAAAAAAAATCGAAGCACCATGAAGGAAGTGGTTGTTTTTGATGAAATTGAATGTGTAGCTCATACACAGATAATAAAATGATTAAAAATCAAGGTCATAGTACCTGTTCACAGTTCACAATCACCCATTGAGTGTTCAAAATAGTAGTTGGTCAAACCCGCCCTGGCGGCAATGTATGCTTGAATTTGTCGAGGCAAGGAGTGCTAAAAGTTAATAATGTCATCTAGGAACACATTCTGCCAGGCATTCAATAGTTGTCATCCCAGATATGTGATATTTTGTGGTGCCCGAATCTGGCGGCCTACTATGTCCAGACATGTTCGATTGGTGAAAGGTCTGGTGACTTTGCTGGCCAAGGAAAAGTATCAACTGCACGAAGACAGTCCAGAGATATATGAGCGGTATGTTGCCTGGCATTATCTTGTAGGAAAATGGCCCCAGGATGACATGCCATGAAGGGTAATGCAACCAGTCGCAGGATGGTATCAACATATCGTTGAGCTGTTAAAGATGTACGGGGGATGACTAAAAATGACCTGCTGTCATAAGAAATAATGCCCCACACCATCACACCAGGGGTTATGGCTGTATGCCTTTGTAAACAAAGGTTGATTGGGACTGCTGGCCCTGTTCTCTCCAGATACAAACACAGTGGCCATCTGCTTCAAGAGTGAAGCAGGATTCATTGCTGAACACTATACGATGCCAGTCTGATGGCAGCCATGATGAGCAGTAGCGACACCACTCCAGACCGCTCCGCCGATGTTGGTTGGGGGTCAAAGGCAAACATCTTAAAGGCCTCTGTGAGCGTAACCCTGCCTCAGACAAGTGCCATGAGATGGCGAATGGTAGCACGGGAGGTATAGATGTGGCTGTAGTGCGTTGAAAAGTCGACAATGATACTGTTGGGGTGGTTCAGGCCTGAGGAACAATCACCCTATCTTGCCTCGCATTCATGCTCCTTGGCCTTCCAAAGCTATCATTTTATCGGCAATTTCCTTGTAGCAACCATCATAGCCAACATCTTTGCACAGCAGTGTCTGTACGCTATAGGTGGCAGCCTATTGCTTGGTATGACCACCCAGCTTCCCGCAACCCTACAACGCGACCACTTTCAAAGTCGTTTAGTTCTCTGTAAGGTCTTCAATATCGTCGTAACGGCATCTTTTGTTGCTTTTTCACGGAATTACAATGGCAGCAACAAAAAAGATAAATTTTTCGCCTCTGTTACTGATTTTATACTTTGCGAATTGCGCACTAAAAATGCAATTCCTGTACATTTGCATGTTCAATCAAGATGTTTTTGCATACTAAATTTTGTCCAAAAGTCCTTCTTGGTGCTTCGATTTTTTTGCAAAAAAGTGTACATTTAAAAACAGTTTTAAAAAAAATTTACAACTAAAATTAGAGTTTCTACACGAAAACAAGCAACTGGGCCAGCAGGAAAGAAGACAAAATTTTTGGTGTACCATACTGAAAGTTTCCTTTTGGTCCCACTTGGCAAAAACAAACTGATGTTGATGCACAAACTGACTCAATTCACTATTCTGCTAAGAGTTTTAAATGTTAACAAATGGCGACTTTGCTAGGTTTAGCAACACTTAAACTTTTGAATGATAACCCTAAAACTACTGCATGCAGATTAACTAAAGGCATAAAAACCTTAACCAGAACATGAGAATAACATAATTCAATCACCTTTTCAGGCAAAAAAATGCACAATTTACTGATATACAAGACTAAAAAAAACTGAGGTCATCGAGCCCGGTAACAGAGTTGATATTATACATATATCTTAGATATGTTTGGTGCAGCTAATTGCAACCAAAAAGAGAGTGCACAACTAACTACATACAGATGACAGATGTTATGAAAAAAACTCTTCTGAATCCATTTTAAATTTGGAAGAAAGAGTCCTTCATTCTCTCTGTATACTATGTCATGCAAAAGCATCATTAATAGATTCACTAGTGGTCAAAATGGATATTTTCAATAAAATATAATACCCAAAATTTTCGCAATTACAATACTTCCTTTACTTCATTCAAGGAAGTAAAATGAAGAAGCTTGAGAAGATGATAAAGAGGTCATTGGAAGAAAAGAAACAACAAAATAAACAAATAAATAAAAATACTGCATTAATTATAGGCAAACATAGGCACAATTTCAGCAATTAAGCTGACAGAAGCATGGCAAAGATCATTTTTCCCTCTGGTCCTGAAGGAAGGCTTTAACTTGATATGCATTTTAATATCTGTGTCAAATAGTCACAAATTTAACATCAAGAAATTCAGGGACAGCTAGGTATTTTGTACCACATTCTACTTACATTATCTGAGTATGCCAAACAACACTTTTGCTTGACGAATCAGAGATATGAGTATTGATGTGAAAGAGATATTTATCAGTTGCATCAGGTATACTGAATATGCATTCTGACATAAAAAAGTTAGTGGTTTTAAATGTTTTTATGCTTATTTACAAGACAATCAAGAGAAACTTTTTTGCAGATTATTACAACTACAGTATGCATATCAGGGAAATATTTAATATTTTGGAAGGATTCTTCACCTCAAAACGAAATAGGATAGGGAAACTCTGCAGATATACGCATTGATAATGCAAAGGCAGTGATGGATCACAATGCTAGAACAATTGCTTTATTTTAAGACAAGATTGCAGCAGCCATTTAATTCCTTATACACACATACTAGTCTAAAGAAAAGGTTTGGTTTGGTTGATTATGGCAAAGCACTCGAAGGCTATCTGCCTAAGAGGAAGTATGCCTTCATGGAAGACTCTCTAAAGGGAAGTGGCTCGTATACATGTTACACATGGAAATAAACATGAAAATGACCATGCAGCCAGCTCATTCATAGAATTCGAACCTTGGACCGAACTACCAGTGTTCAGTGACTTTGCCACTCGGGGCCTAAAGAAAAGGAAGTGTCCTCTGGATTTAAGGGGCTCTGTTATAGAAAGTGATTCTAAAAAGGGCTTTGTGAACTAAGGTACTGCTGATCTATCACATTTAGTTTATCATTTTTAGTTTATCATGAGAACTAGTCTTGTATGCTTAACACTAACCATTTTTGACAAAATCTGCCACCAAACAGAGTGATTGAGTGCCATTAATGGAAAAACATAATGTCACAACATAATCATAAAATCTTCCACTTGGTTTTATGTAAGCTCAATTTATTTTCAATAAGTAGGTTTAGTTTTTATAAAGGATGTAAGATGACTGTTATTTACCTGTTTTTCTCTCTTTAAAAAAAAAATTATTGAAATTTGGGGCCTGCCTTCAATGAAATAATATGCAGAGCGGCATGTTCAAAATTACAGGATCCTGGCATCAAGATAAGAATGTTTTAGTAAGTATAATATGTGACCTGGAAATGAATGAACAATGGTGATGCAACATGCAAAATTAATGGCAAGCAAATTATTTAAATATGGCTAGGTCTGTAACTTGTATTTCTTGATTATCTGATAAGGTATTTCTCCCGCCTTCTTAGCGAGCCTTCGTGGTGTAGTATCTGCACACTCAGCACGTAATTGAGAGGTCTGCGGTTCAACTGCCGTCGAAGATGTTTGCTCTTTTTTCAAGTCTCCTGCTTCCAAAAAATACCTAATGTCTCTACAATCTAACTAGATGAAAAGTAATCAGTTTCTCTGAACTCTAGCCTGAATGACTGGCAATGACGAGACTTCATTATCAAATAAAATGTTTATCCTTCATATGCTTAAGATCTATGAAACATGTTGGCTTTTTTACCTAAAATGCAATTTGTTTTCAGGAATTTTACATAATGTTAAATGTAGACTTCTGATATTCATGCTGATAACAATTAAGACGACTCTTTTTAACATTTTTAAATCAGAAATTTCTTCTTCCATTCACTTAGTTTTTTTAAAAAAAGTGCATTTTTTATACACACAACAATAAAAATGTTCACATATTCAGCATTGAGCATTTTCCAAGCTTTCCAGATAGCTCAGCTTTTACTGTACTACTGTAGCGAAACATTTGAAGCATGCATCAGATATGTATGCAGTATCTTACCAGATTATTTTTGGTCTTTGCTACGTTGGGATCATCAGGACCCAATGTTTTCTCATAAATTTCAAGGGCACGTTGATAATATCTTTCTACTTCTTCATACTTTCCTTGATTCTGACACAACAATGCTAAATTATTTAACTGTTTTGCAACATCCGGATGGTCTTTCCCCAATACCTATTAAAAAGATATTTAAAGAGAAACAATTAAAGGGTTGTAATAAAAAATTATTCTTTTGAAGAATGGGGGAGGAATGGGATAAATTTGTCAAATACTGCAAATTCATAAAAACAAAAGCTACTCTGGAAAAATACTTACACAATTTGCATAAACACACATACAATTAGCACTTTTTTTTTTTTTTTTTTTTTTTTTTTTTGTACTCTGCAATTTAAATATATTGATATGTATTGATGGATTGAGATACAATGGTCATTCATTATAGAAAACTCTTGATGTATTATGCAACATACCAAAAGTGAAAAAAATTTTTCAATTAATTTTTTTAGCAATTACTCAACAAAATGTAAGAAAAAATTTAATTCTTATTTGTAAGCTTTTGTATTAAAAAAAATCTGGCAACCATTTTCTATTCTAAAAAATGCTTAATAAATCTTTTTCAAGTGAATTTTTTCAAAATTAATCTTTCACATATGAATATAATGCTAATGACACGTATATTTGTATACAAGTGGAAAACTTAAGTCTGATAAAATTTTATTTTCATATATTTTGAGGAAGTTTTAATCTTTTTCCTCAAGTTGCATTCTTTTTCTTTCACTATTTTGAACATAATTTTTCTTATTTTGATTATATATTTTAAAATTTTATGTTTAGTGCTATTACCGTTTCTGGCTTTGCTCTAAGTTTTAATTAATCAACACAATAATTTATTTTAAAGAAATTTTTCCACTTTCATGCACTGACTGCTTACCATGTTTTGTATGAATTCTGCTCTGGATTTACTGTGATGTATCTGAATATTTTTTTTATTTACTTTAAATTATTACCACTAAATTATATCAACTTTTGGTACATGATTTAGCTTTTAGTTAATTAGAACTTACTGTCTGCTTCTTTTTTATTTGATTTTAATATATTATTATTATTATTATTATTACATTACAGCTATAGTCTGTGATATATTATCAAAAAAATTGATTTTAGCAACAAATACATGAAGTCTAATTCTCTAATTGTACAATGGTAGCCGAAATTGTGGACACTTTTGGAAATTTTTATGCTTTTGAACTTTGTATGCTCATAGAAAACATTACGTTTCACAAAATGCAAACTTGTATATATCATTTTAAAGAGAATTTATAACTGAATTCAATTATTTGCAATACAAAAAGTTAAACGAGAATAGTTATCAATATACATTAGATAGTGATGATTGCAGTGAGTTATCAGTACTTAGTAGAGTACTTTTTATTTTTTATTATAGCTTCACATCGACGTTTCATTGAGCTGACAAGAGTTTTAAGCTCTTCTTTCATTATTACATGATGCCAGGAAACAATTATAGCCTCAATTAGTTCCCTTTTATTTGATGGGCGCCTCATTCGGACAAGAGTTTTCAAATGGTGCCACAAATTTTCGACAGGATTGAGGTCAGGACTGTTTCCTGGCCATGACAACAATCTAATGCTTTTTGTATGAAACCACTCTTTCGATATTTTGGCCGTGTGGCAAGGAGCAGAATCCTGCTGAAAAATAAACGAAGCATTGTTGGGAAAGAGATCTCTGATAGAAGGTAGAAGTTTTGGTTCTAGAATAGAGTCAATGTATTTTCTGGCATTCAGTGTCCCATCGATGACATGAAGGCGACCAATACCATCTGCTGACATGCATAACCAAATCATAACACTAACTGGGTTCTTCACACTTGCTTGAATGCAGTCAGGATGTAGCTCTTCTCCTATTCTACGTCTTACATATTTTTGCCCATCACTACCGAATAACGATATCTTAGTTTCATCACTCCATATAACTAGTGACCACTGATCATCTGTCCAATTAATGTGTTCCCACTGTAGTCTTTTTTTTTTTTTTTTTTTTTTGTAGTCCTCATCTTAATTTTTTGCTGAAAATTAAGATAAGGCTTTTTTCGTGGAATTCTACCTCTCACTCCAACATCTGTTAATCTTCTTCTGATTGTTCTTGAACTGACAGAAACACCAGCATCATTCAGATCACTTCTGATGACATTTTTCTATCTTGGAAACATAGTCTTTTTATTCTTCTGTCATCAATAGATGTGGTGCACCTTTTTCGGCCTTTTCCTTCTTTGTTTTTTATTGAATTTGTCTCCTGATATCGTAAACAAAACATTCGGACTCCAGATGTAGTCACTGAACCTCCCACCTGTCTTGCAATTTCAGCATAGGAAAAGACCACTTTCTCGTAACACAATAATATTACATCTCTTTCTAGGTGTCCAATCTACACTTTTATTTGATGTCATTGTTTCTTGACTAAATACTAAAATTTTTACAAAAATTCTTACTTGTAATTGCAGTGTATAAGAAACAGGTCCTCCTTCTACAGAACAAAGCAAAATAATGAATTGTTTCAAGTGTAAACATGATGTCAGCTTCTACTGACAGTTACTAACATTTGATTGGTTCTCAGAACAAGAACAGTGATTGGCCAGGAAAGCTAGACATTACAAACCACTTCATAACTGTGTTTTTTATTTATATTAAAGTACATATAACTTTTTTGTATTGCAAATAATTGAATTTTGTGTTTTGTATTGAATTCAGTAATAAATTCTCTTTAAAATGATGCATACAAGTTTGCGTTTTGCAAAACGTAAATTTTCTGTAAGCATACAAAGTTCAAAAACATAAAAATTTCCAAAAGTGTCTACAATTTTGGCCACCACTGTATATACAACCATAATTGCATATTTGAAAAGCACACAAACCTGACATTATTTATTTCTTTTTAATTAGGATAAGAACTTTCAGTTATAACACATATGAATTTTCAATTATAATACATTATTATGAAAGAAATAAATTTTAAAAAATAAAATATCAAAATGATGACAAAATTGTTAAATTCTTAATGTACTTTACTCACCCTCTCTCTTATTTCTAATGCTCTCTTACAGAGTGGTTCTGCCTCTCTGTATTTTCCTCTCTTGCCGTATAAAACTGCTAAATTATTCAAAGTTGCAGCAACCTAAAATGGATTTACGGAATTTTGTGAAATAAATAGCCAACTGAAGTTATATTCATATAATCAAGCTTGTTACAGGGTGAGTCGCAGGAAACAGCTGTTTTTGTAACGTCCCATGCTCAGCTTCTGGAGGGACGCACGAGAGGTGGTCTTCTCATCTTGAATCGGCATTGTGGACTCGAGATCACTGGGCATTTGCTTAAGACAAATACATGAAAAACAGCGAGTCAGTGATAATTACCCAATGTCTCTTCAGGAAAAAATTCTGCATCCGTCATCATGGTGATGTCCCCAACCACAATACTATTTTTAGGTGGGTTAATGCACTGTGAACAACTAGTTCTTCAATGAAAAGGAAACCACCTGGCCCTGCCAAAACAGCCAGAACACCAGAGAATGTGGCATACGAGAAGGCAATGATCTGAAGTCCTGGTCGCTCACACTTTGCAGAGCTGTGATGGTCTCAAAGCACTGAGCAGAGAATTTTATATATATATATATATATATATATATATAAACTATAGCTTCACCTGTATAAACTTGTGGTAGTCCAAAAGCTGAATGAGCAGGATTACAAATGATTCACTTTTTGTCAAACAATGCTTGACATATTTGAAGAAAATGAGGATTTGACCATCATAATGGACAATGAAGCCCATTTTCAACTAAATGGGCCAGTTATTAAACAAAAACTATACATTCTGGATTTTAGAAAAATCCTAGTGGATTACATGAATGACCACTGCAATGTCCAAAAGTGACTGTTTGGTGTGGTATCAGCAAGTACGAAATTTCTGGGCCTTTCATTTTTGAAGAGGACAAAATGACATTAACAGTTACTTCAGACTGCTATGTCAACATGTTTCAAACCCATTTTCTACCTGAGCTTTGCAGACAACGAAACAATAAGGCACCAGTGTGGTTTCAACAGGATGGGGCCACTGCCCATACAGCGAGAGCTTCCATGACAACTGCATTCCCTAATCATGTGATTTCATGCTTTGGAGTTCTTTCATGGCCTCCACGCTCATCTGACCTTTCCACGTGTGATTTTTATCTATGCGGATTCTTGAAATCATGTATCTATGAAGGAAATTACAATTTTGTCTTGAAAAAACTACAGTTATGCTTTCCAGAAAAACATGCATGTCCCATAACTCACCCTGTACAATGAACTCAGATTTACACAATATTTTAAACTTTGCCTACTAAAAATGATTTTTCACAGCATATGTGTTCCTTTCATTGAAATTACTCTTCAAAACAACCAAATCCCTGGTTCTTTTTTATGTTTTTGGAATTCGCTCACAAACTACCACAAAACATTTGAATCTCAGCTCTGCTTCTCCAAACTAAAGAGAAGGACCTTTGAATCAAATCAAGTAAATAAGGTAAGTACAATAGAATTGCTTAAAAAAGTCTTGAGGCAGAAATTTTACATTTTTTAAGTTATGTGTACATGGTCATAAGGCAAATAAGAGTCCTTAAGGACTAGAGCTAGGTTCCTTTTAGGGCCCTTTTTCAAGCACTTCAGGTGGCTGGCCTGTAAGCTGATAGTACCTTCATGGATAATGACTTCTGAAATTAAGCCAAATATGAATAGATGGCATTCCCTTATCTGATCTTTATGCCCCTAATCTGCATATAGTTTAAATGAGGCTCATGAGCTGTGAATATTTTTCTGCTATAACTGAAGTGGATAGGTGTGTCATTTTTCACAGAATTCTTCTGCAGTTTAAAACTCTGGCAAACCTTTAACCGATAGCCTGCCTTTGTTTAAGACGCTCCCTTTGGATGGATGGGAGTCGAAAGGATTCATCCCACAGAACAGGGGTTTGCATCACTAAGCCTAACTTTAGGGAAAAAAATCAAAAAAAAAAAAAAAAAAAAAAAATTCCTACCATCAGAATTTTTGGCACACTTTTAGATTATTACTTAAGCTGTCATATATGTTAAAATTAGCATTTAGAAAACTTTTTGCTTTAATTTACATGAATATATATAAACAAATTGCTTACTTTGAGAAATAATTTTCGGAATTCCCTGTTCACGCTATTCATTATTTAAATTATTCTGAAGTTTTAATTGACAAAATACATTAATGAAAATTTTAATTAATTTTAAAAAATAGAAGAAAGATTATTTACAAGAAGTAACAAAATCCTTCATGGGGAATGGAAGGCAGATGCTCAGTGAGCTCAGTCTCTGAGAAAATTTCCCTATGAGAATCACTTTCTAGCCCTTTAGAAAATGAATCATCCCTCTCATCCAGGTTACTAATTGGCTCATTTACCACAGAAGTATATCCTTCCTCTAATAAATAACAGAAGTCAAGATTTTTCCAAAATAAAAAGAGAAATATGCAAAATATAAGTGACAAAAGCAACGCAAAGCATATTAGAACACCACATAATAATTCTAAAAGACCCTACATAGTAGCAAAGAAAGAATAAAAAAGGGATTCAAAGGGATATCAGAAACTCAAATGTTTGCATCATACGACCAGTTAAAGAGCTGAACTCTGTTTACATTATGCTTTTCCTTCTATTCCACAACAGCTGACACCAACATTATGCAGAATGTGATCAAGCTGAAGGTCAAGATCCTAAAAAGTAATGGACAATATCAAAGTAATGGACACATGACACCATCAAGTGGTCTTTAAACAATGTTTCAGCTTAAAATGCATAACAAATCCATTACATGATGTATTAGTGAGACGCCCGAGCATGAGAGACATTTGTACGGAATGCATATATAGGACGCCCTGTCCAGAATCTTTAAATCATGAACTTTCATGGCATTCCTCTTGGTTTAACTAAATTGTTTTTTTTTTCCACTATATAAATATATAAATAAAACATAAAAAAATCTCTCTTATTTAACAACTTCTTCTTCTTCTTCATAAGCTCCACAACCTGTTACAGGCCAAGACTGTCTCTCCAAGTTTCCTCCGCCTGACCCCATTCGACACAATAGCCTTCCATCGGTTAACTCCAATTAACCTTAAATCTTGCTCAACATCATCTATCCACGTAGTGTGTGATCTTCCTTTTCGTCTTACTCCCTTAATTCATAAAAAGGTTATCTTTTTGGTTGGAAATGCATCATCATATCTAAACACATGGCCCAGCCATCTGATATGAGATGCCTTTACGATTCTCTCAATATCATTTTCGCCATATTTCCAATATTTTCCATATAGTTCATGATTATACAGAATCCTCCATGTGCCATTTTGATGTGCCGGTTCAAATATCTTTCTTAGGATTTTTCTTTCAAAAGTTAAAATTAGGTCTAAGTATCCAACATTCACTTCCGTAAATGGCAACAGGCCTTATTAAAGTTTTATATAAATTTAATTTAGTTTTAACGCTTATTAGTTTGGATTTAAGTTTTTTTTAAGGCCATAGTAACATCTATTAGCCATAAATATGATTTAACAACTTAGTTTTACAAATTTCTTTGGCATATACTGATGGCAAATGGTAAAAATATTTTCAAACTAAAGGCAAAATTATATATGATGCACTTAAAATATGAACTGAAAAAATATAGGGATATAACTCTCATAAACTCACGAGTATGTCCAAAAATTCACGGCTCTAAACAAATACACTGCAAAAAAGTCAATACTACAGTTCTGCAACTATACTTACAGAAAAAATTAACTAGCATGATTTAGCTTAGAATTTTGCAGGCACATTTTCCAATCACTACCCCCTTCCAAACTTACTTAAGCAAAGTAGTTAAAGCACCAACAATAAAAATCTATGCATATTTAATAATTTTTAATTCAAAAAGATACAAAAGATGCAATAAAACATCCATCATACCGCAGGATGATTTTCTCCTAATGTCTTTTCTCTGATTGCAAGAGCATCGTTTAATAAATTTGCAGCTTCTTTATACTTATTTTGATCCCTAAGAAAGAATAATAATTTTAAGAATATGCATGTAACATACAAAAGTAAACTGCATGATTTATTTCATGAAAAAAATTATGTATTTATTTAATGCACTTAAATTTGCAGATCAAAAAGTAAAATGAAAAAAGATAACATCATGCTATTTTTATTTTGCATATAAATATTCTTAAAGATAGAAACGGTGTTAAAAGCATAATTTATTAGTTATACTAATGTTTGTTAGTATAATATTATTAACTCACTGTAGGAATCATTAACCTTTTCCTGTGGGCTATAGGGTCCAATTTCGAATGTATTTTGGCCATTTAGTCACTTATTTTAACTGAAAGGAACAGAAAAACAAATCGACAGGGTATTGCACTCCTAATCCATATTAAGGAGTAAATTTTAAATCTGCATAGTTTACTGAAATTTCTTGAGACACATTTAAAGTAGTGAACATGCGGGACATATATGTCCCAGCCCCCGGGAAAAGGTTAAAACAAATTATAAGCTTATAACAACACATTTTTAAGAAAAACCTATGCTTTTATAAGAAAAACCTTTTTTGTATAAATGTGTACACATAAATATAAAATCAATAGCTCATATATACTAGTGCTAAGGCTGCCAAGCAATAGCTTATATATACTAATGCTAAGGCAACCAAGTAATAAATCAATAATATACACATAAAGGTTTATATATACAATACAGGATAAATACTTTTCTTCAAACACACAGACTTAAAAAAAAAAAAAAAAAAAAAAGACTATACACACTTTGCCAACTTTGTATGTAATCCTGCTGTAATAATTATAATTTTCAACCCCTATCATGCATTTGAAGAACAATTTAAGACACAGAAAAATGACAAAAAAAAACTGAATCAGAAATTATAATATATCACAGTGAAATTTTATTCAGAAAAAAATCTCTTTTTTAAGTTACAATAATATAGCAATTCTCTATTGTGACTTTGGATTAAGTACAACTTCAAAGGAAATAATTCTTCACAAAATTTTGCACAGCAATAAAAAAAGAGGACACCTTCAATGCATTATTAATACCTAAATATGAGATAAAAGTGGGCATGGGATTAATTACTTTTAAGTATTCAGAATGACTTGGCTTTATATGTGACATTAACATGCAAAAAATACCATATGGATTTTCAAAAGTTGTTTAACAATAGCAATTACCTGAAATCAAGCAAGAGAGCCAAATTTATAATTTAAAATAGTAATAATTATATTTTACTTTACTAGCTAGATTAATTAATAAATATTTATTTATTTGGACTAATGAGATTTTTTATTAATAGAACTGATCATGTTTATAATTTTTTATAGTACAGCTGTTAAAATATAAATGATATTTTAATAATCATATGGTTATTTTTAATTTTCTCTATTGAGTTTATTAAAAAATGAAAACTGCTCATTTAGAAAGTGCACTAAATATTAAAAGAAAAATAACTATTACATGTGTGTACTGATACCTCTGCTTTTATTATTATTTTAGCCCTAACACCTATTCAGCAAAATATTTTACAATTTTTATCATCTGCAATGAAAAACGTAAAATTCTACTGCCCCCTAAAAAACTGGAAAAGTAAAAAAGCAAGATATAAACATGGACACTTTGCAATACAAAATTTACTGTTTATAAAAAAAACTAAGCACAATTACTTAAGGATGAAGACAGAAAATAAAGAAAATTTGAAAATCTGACCTTTAATTTGTTTTTATCTTCTTAATATAATATACAGCACCAGAGGTATTATTAATTTTATACTGACCCGAACGTTAAAAATGCTTTCATTTGTCATTAGATTTTATGAATGCAGGAGACATGAAAAATATTCAATGACTTCATTGAAATTTGAATACACCTCTTGACTGCTAGCTGGATGTGCTACCCCTTTACAATACGAATGCATGCATAAGGAAGAAAAAAATACCTTATACACTTTTACTTTTAAAGGATGACTGGGGTAGAGGGGATCCAATCGAGAAATCCTAGTGGTGATGAATTATTATCTATTAACTTTTAGTTCAGGCACTACTTGTAGAGTCATTAGGTTTCACTGATGCAGAAGATGTCAAAAATATGAAATATCCTCACCAGGATTTGAACAACAATGTTCCTAGATATGCTATCCATACCATGAAGGTACACGGTTAGAAAGGAGAAAATACCTTATAACTTGTCTTATATAATTTTTTTTAGACTTCATTTTGCAATGAAATGCTATAATTTGGAAGACAAATGAAAAACCTTATGTACTACATGGTTTGACATCAGTTTCATTTCTTTAAGTAGTTCTGACTGCTCAGACTCAAAGCAAAATGTCATTAATACCATGACATATTTTTTAATGTGTAATATTTTTTAATGTTTACTAAAATGAAATTGAATTCTAGTATTTAAAATACATTGAAATTGTTACTGTCACTACTTAATTGTTGCTAAATAAGATTCACACCTTAAGTTCTGTTAAGTTGCATATTTTAAAATTTCCTTAATTTAAACACTAATCTATCAGTAATCAGACACACTAATCAGATTATTCATTAATACTTAAACACTAATCAGATTATTCATTAACACTTAAAGACTAATCAGATTATTCATTAACACTTAAACACTAATCAGATTATTTATTAACACTTAAACACTAATCAAATTATTCATTAACCAACATCACCAACTTGGACTATCAGTTCATGTCAAATATGAAAAATATCAAAACTAACCTGTACACTAAAGCTAATATATTAAGCATAGTTGCAACATCTGGATGATCATGACCACTAGTTTTTTCAAGATCTTCCAAGGCTTGCTTGCAAAGAGGTACTGCAACTTCATATCGCCCTTGAGAAGCATACTGGATTACCAAATTATGTAAAGTACGCAAACGAGCAGGGATTTCATATCCTGCATTAGCTGATACAGACATTTGTGTAGATGGGGTGGGTGAGAGTGCTACGTATAAAGAGATTAAAAATATATAAGTCAGAAAATTTTTTAAAAATTGCATGATAAACATTGCAATAAAAATAATAATGTAAAGTATAATACAATACAGTATAAAATAATACACCAAAAACAGCATTAGTCACATAAACCAAACTGCCACTGGCATGTAACGCACAACTTTCAAATCGTAACATAAAACAAGAAAAAAATTTTAAGTTGGTAATCAGCTAAGAAAATAAAGCTGATGTGTAAACCACATAACTTCCTTGTATGAAATATTAAATTATACGCAATTTTCTTGCATTTCATTTTAACTTATTGCATTGAATTAAATCTACTTCGTCAATAGCGCATAAACCACAATAGTTAACTCTTTAAAATTATAAACCACAATAGTGCACTCTTTAAAATTCACTATATTTGTTTACCATAGCGACACTCTGACGCTAGGTTCACTTAACAGCATTACATTTCATTCCTATTTATAACCCAGAATCCACAAAATTTATATCATTTGAAGAATTATCTAATCATTGCCACATGTGCCATTCAAATACTATAATAAATCTAAATCGATATATAAAAGAAATGAAGCAAACTAAAAAAAGAAAGAAAAAGAAGAAGAAAAGAAACAGTTTTTCATTGACGATTCAGTACTTCTCAGTCAATTAATTCAGTTCTCACTTCGTGACAAGGCAAAAATACAAAAAAATTCAAAACATTTTAAGTAAAATCTTGAAAGATTAGAAAACATTAAAAACTACTACAAGTAAATCAATAAAAAACACTTTTTTTTACAATTCCAAATAAATTCTAGCAAAAACAAGCTCTAGATTAAGATAATTCCAGAATGATTGCATAATTAATCCAATAATAAAAGACATTTTTTGTTAATGTTTTTGCGAAGCTTAGTTTCTCTAGATTGGCAACAAATCGATGATTCTGCTAAAGTTTCAAATGTAAAGAAACATGGTTGCCGTGGTATTGAAATAAGTAGGCTTAGCCGCACTTAAAAAATTTTCAATTGTTGATAATTTCTACAATTATTGCATGCAGGATTTACTAAAGGCATTAAAACCTTAACCGGAAGATAAGAACAACATAATTCAATCATTTTTAAAGCAAAAAATGCATAATTTACAAACATATAAGAATAAAGAAACTGAGATCACTGAGACGAGTAACAGAGTGAATATATGTATACATATATTTATAGACTTTTAGTGCAGCCAACTGATACCCAAATAAGAGGTGCACATCTACATATTATAGAAGACCTTTGTACAAAATTTCAACGTTCTGAGGCTACTCGTTTTCAAGTTATGTGAGATACGTACGCACAGACACCATGAAAAACTCCTTTCAAAATTCATTTTAAATCAGTTTTATAATTTGTTTGGGGGAAAACAGTCCTTTATTCTGTCCTTACATACACATGTCGCACAAAAACATCGTTAAATTGCATTCGATAGCGGTGAAAACGGGTATCTTCGTTGAAATAGGATGCCTGAAATTTTTCGAGATTACAATACTTCTTTTTACTTCATAAAAGGAAGTAAAAAAGGATGCAAAAAATGCCATATAAAATCAATACTGTAAAAATTTGTTATCTTGTTTAGAGCAGAAAATTTAAATTGTACCTTCATGATGAGCACTATCGTCATCATCTTCAGGGAATCCTAAGTTCAAAGGCTCCTCACTATCGGGTTTCTTTTCAAACACATTTTCTTCTGAACCCTGTACCACAAAATTAAATACATATTTCTACATTAAATACATAAAATTACTAAAAATTCTATATTTCCTAAGATTTACATATTTTAAGAACATAAAATTTAAATATTTACAATATATATCACAAAAATATTCATACATTTTTATCGCCAAGTCCAATATTTAGTTGACTAATTCTACTTAGCTTGGGGAGGGAGAAAGGAAGAAAATTTTCTTTAAAGTATTTTAACCTTTTAATACCAGAGAAGAAAATGAAAAATTACAAACTAAGCAAATGCACGATGGCAAATTCACAAGTTAATACAGTTAGCACAAAATTTAGATAACAATTAATTGTATTTTGTTACATTCCCCTCCCCCCACCCAAAAAAATTTCATCACATTAATTAAATAGTTAATTTCTGAAAATGAAGCAGGAATATAGTTAATTTTCTCTTAGCCTACAAATTTTATTTTCATTCTGTTATTAAAACAGTTATTTTAGTCTTAACATAATATTTGGTTTGAAAATTGTTTAAAATAAGAAATCAGTCTAGTAGTTATGTCTTTTAAATAAAAGCATTTAAAACAGTAAGAAAACTATTTCTTTATGTTGGTAATCGTTAAATCATTTCTATAATTAGACTTAATGCTCTTTCTAAGATGCATTTACCTTCAGTCTACATGTCATAGAAATAAAAAAGTGAACAAGTGTTCAAACAATTAAGTTATGAAATAATAAATAATATATTAAAATTTAAAAAAAAGTCAACTCATCTCAAAGATCTTTTGGTCAAATTTTGAACAGAATGACAAAAATGTTTACAATTTTGTTTATTTTATCTGAATTTTAATTCGTAAATTTACTTCGACATAATGAAATGCAATTTACAAATTTGGTTTGGAATGTGATTATAAATTGTTAGCAGATAACTTTTAATTCATTTCAATCCCATAAATGTATTCCATAAAAACATTACAGAAACTTAAGTTTTATCTGAAATATCCATGACAATGTATATATTCATTTAACAATGCAAGCAATTCTTATTTATGACACTCCTCCCCCAATTTCATCCCTTTTTGTTTCTTAAAGAAGTTTTAAGCTTAAGATCAATGGTTTCCAAACTACGGCTCGCACGATGGCATTATCAATCTGGCCCACCAAAGATTTTTTTAAATAATTTTATAAAATGTAAAATAAGAAAGGTAGCATACACATTGAGGCGCGATGGCACAACGGCTAGTGCATCGCGCAGCAGCACCACAGGTCCGGGGTTCGAACTCCGGGCTGGGCAAGGTCGACTCATCCCTTGATTTCCATCCCTTGAGTCGATATAATTAGTACCAGGTTCACTTGACTCAAGGGACTAAACACTGGGGGTCCTGCAACCCCCAAGCTGACCACTTGTTCAAGGGCGTATGCTTACACACCCCGGGGCTCACGGTCAAGAAAGCAGATTTTTGGGGACTCCAGGCCTTGGCCCATTAGGGCTGTTTGTGCCACTGAGTTTAGTTTAGCATAGACATTATTTTACATAACAACCACTTTATAAATACACTACCTGCCATGCACATTCTTTATAAAGCATATTACAAATGTTATAAAAACATTACTAAATGTACAATGAATGAAATATTTAACATTCTATTAAAAAATTTATCACTACACTTTTGTTTTGCGTGTTATCTTTACCTACTTTAATAGTAGTATTCTAGGTGTGTTCATAATAATTTTAATCAGTGGTTATGCTTAATCTTAACTGTTTTATGTATGTTGTAATTAATTTTGGAGATTTTTTCCCCACACAAAACTTGCTCAAAATATAAAATATCGATGAGCATGATCAAAAAGTAAATTTGCTGATGGGGAGTCAAATCCATTTAAAAGAAAAGTTGCATTACAAACCACAAAAACCTCTGATATTCTGGGACAGGAATATTTTTTCAAACAGTTTTTTAAGAAATTTATGTTAGGTGAAACTGCATGGAAGTCTAAAAAGTAAGTCTCTTCATGTTATCATCCATGTTGTTATGTATAGATCCAATCACAAAAATCTCACAGCCTTGTTTAAATACATGTGTGTGCTATTCATTGTAATTACATCATCATGGTACGATGAACTAACTAGGTCTTGGCCCTCAAAGCTTCGTGAAATACAGCACATGGGCCGTATTTCACAAAGCTTGCCGTATTCGTGAAATACGGCATAATTCGTGAGTGAATACGGCACATGGGGTAAAAAGTTTGGAGACCCATATCTTAAATAAATAATCAGTTTCACACTCAGTATACAATATCTAAAAATTAACTGAAATTGTTGTAATAGGCATCCAATGTAAACATCAGTATAGAGGTTTAGAACAAATACTTTAGTAAAAAGAAAAAAAAAAAAAAAAAAGACTGATAATTATAAAAAGTTCTCACAGAATGTATCAAAATTCAATTGTATTGCACGCCACTAAATTTTAAGTCTTTAAATAATTGACTATTATCAGCATTTTGATGAAGTTTTTACAGAATTACTAAATTTAGATTTAAATCAAATAATAAAAGACATTGACAGAAATAATTACTTCAGTTTTTCAAAGATATCTCATTAAATAAGTATTTTATTTGAATTTTTATAATTGAAGAAAGTCTTGCGTATGTCAAGACTGACATATAAAATTTTAGCATTTTACCATGTTATCTTTTCTGGGAAAAATAAGAGGCCTATATGAATGTTAAAGTCTCGTTAAGAGTCCAATTTCTAAGTAATGATCTTATAAGGCTCATCAAGAGATACTTACAGTTTCAATGTCATATTTTTTCAAAGCATTCATAAATTCCAAATGCTTTTTATCTTCTTCTAACTGAGCAACCATCTGCTCAGAAGCTTGAAGTTTTTGCTGTGTATTTGCCAATTCATCACGCAGCCATGCATTTTCTTGGCAAAGGCGACGAACCTGAGCTTTCAATTTTTGTTTCTCAGCTTCAACTGTCTGTAGATGACCAGCTAAAGCCATCATAACCTATATGACAAATAATATTAATTTTGATAAAAAAATTCAATAAATACTATATTAAATAAATGCTTTCAAATATGTAAGTTAATGAAGCTAAAACTATAGTATAAATAGCTTAGATTGTTATAATTTAAAATGACTTACAATATTACAAGAAGGTGAGAAGAGATAATAATTATTATTTTAAACTTGCCAATAATGTAAAAATGGAAATTTTTTCAGACCTTCTACTGCCCCCCCCAAATAAACAGTTCTTTACAATTAAATCTTATTCTAATTATATGACTACAAACAGAAAAGTATTAATTTTTACATTTTTTAAGACAGTCCTCCATCCTCCCCTCCAAAAACAGTATGGAGATTAAGCACTATTTTTAAAATATGTATATTACATTATAACAACACATCGTTCAATAAGTCCTGGGACTAACCAAAAGATGGTCTTAGTAATATCAACTTGACTTCATTGTTCAAAAGAACTAACCTTCGAATGGCACATGTCTAATTTTCATGGCATTCGGACCGGAAACAGCAAAGCTACTGTGGTGAAAGTGACACTACTTGTGCATTTGGTGGATAAAATGGAGAAAAACGAATTTCGAGTGTTGATCAAACATTGCTATTCAATGGGCAAAAATACTGTGCAAGCTTAGCAATAGCTTGAAAAATGTTATCCAGACACTGCTCCATCGAAAACAACCATTTGCCGTTGGTATGCTGGTTTCACGCATGGTCGCACGGATACAAATGATGCGGCACTCTCGGGTAGGTCAAATGAAGCAGTCGCTTCGGAAAATGTGAAACAAGTGTTGAAAATCATGATGAATGACCGCAAAATGAAAGTTTGAGAGATTGCCGAGATGGTAAATATGTCAACTGGAAGTGCGTGTATGATTTTACATGAAAAGTTGGGCATGAAAAAAGTGTTTCCCAAATGGGTGCCACGTGTGCTCACAACGGACCAAAAGCAACAAGTCGTCGATGATTCAGAGCTGTTTGTCACTGTTTACTCGCAATAAACAGGATTTCTTGCGTCGATATGTGACAATGGATGAAACATTGACTCCAGAGTGAAATAGTGGATCCAACCAGCAGTCAGCTGAGTCGCGTGCAGCCGGTGAAAGCCATCCGAAACATCCAAAAACGCAGCAGTCAGCTGGCAAAGTCATGGCATCTGTATTTTGGGATGCGCGAGGAATAATTTACATCGACTACTTTGAAAAGGGAAAAATCTATCGATAGCACCTATGTGAGTTATTGATGCGTCTGAAGGACGAAATCGCAAAAAAAAAACGACCGCTCATGAAGAAAAAAATCAACTTCAGTCAAGACAATGCCCCATGCCACAAGTCAATGCAAACACTGGTTACATTGAACGAGTGGGGCTTCACTCTGCTTCTCCACCCATTATACTCCCCAGATCCAGTTCCCAGTGACTACTGGCTGTTTGCTGATCTCAAAAAGATGCTCCAGGCGAAAAGATTGGGCTTAAATAAGGAAGTCAGCACTGCCACTGTTTTGCAGACAAGGAAAAAAGTTTAACAAGCATGTTACCGAAAAGTTTTAAAAGCATTGGAATGATTGCATAGCTCTTCATGGTGATTAAGTTGATGAATAAATGTGAATTTTTTTTTTTTTTAATGGATGTTGTTTTCTTAGTTAGTCCAGGGACTTATTGAAAGATGTGTTACATCTCAAAATGTGCAATCCCATAAATTTTCAAACTGCTAATCATCAGAATAAAGAAAATGCTTGCATTATATACAAAGTAAAGATGTATCATTTACACTATTTACTGTATATTTCAATGCCCTGAGTAAAATACGTAATATAAATAATCAGGATCATCAATCTATCAGAACATACTTTCCTCAATATGCTAATGATTTATGGCTTAAATGCCAAAGTAAGTATCACAAATAATGGTTTAAGTGTCAAAAGCCCAGCATTCATAAATAAATAAGTTTTTCTTATTTTTATAAAAACAGGATATAACACAGCTGAGCACTGTGAGTGTGGGCATTAACATGCTGGAACACAACCCCCAGATGTTAGCACCTTGCGACGTTTGTTCTTGATGGTTCTTTACAGTTTTCTCAAAGTGTTAACATTACACTACAGAATTGACTGCCATACCACGTTTCATGAATTTAACAAGCAAGATTCCATTAGCATCCCAAAACATGGTGACCATAACCTTCCTCAGTGACAAAGTCTAATTGGCTTTCCTCAGCCAAGCTGGAGAACTGGAATGAACCCAAGCTATTAACTGTTGTTTTGTCTCAGCATTCACATGTGCTATCCAACACTTGCCACCAGTCACTATTCTGTTCCAAAACTCCTCTCCTTCCATGCATTACTGCGTAAAAAAATATAAGGCAGCAGCCATTAGATTGGTTTTGTGGATTTCTGTGAGAATGTTTTATACCCATTGAACACAGAATGTTCTGGTAGCCTAACTAGATTACCTTGCATAAAACAGTCCGAGAAATGAGAGTTCCGAAATTGTGAATCACTCGATACATATGGCCTTACACTCCTTGATTCATCAAGAATGTTTGTTGTTCCGCCGACGTTTGCAGCAGAGTGGGCTATCCAGCAGGATGAACATTACTTTGGCTTCCTTTGACAATGCAGGATAGAGAGAGATGGCGACTCTGGTGTGCCAAACGAAAAAATTGAGTACAGGAGTACATGTTGCCTTTTCAAATGAGTCCCGGTTCTACGTGTAGTATTCTGATGGCCGTATATGTACGTGTCTGGAGTGTCTCAAGAGACTGCACATCGCTTGCTTGCATTCAATATCGGCATAGGGGACCCTGAACCCAGCGTGATGGTTTGGGCAGCCATTGGGTACGTGACACGCACATCTCTAGTTCGGATTGACGGTAATTTGAACACAGACAGGTACATTTCTGACAGCTTACGTCAAGTGGTTGTGCCGTATCTTCGAGGCCCCCAAACGCCATGTTCCAACAAGATAATGCAAGACCACATATTGCATGTCGTGTTCTGACCTTCCTCAATACACAGAGTATTCGATTGCTGCCCTGGCCTGCATGGTCTCTAGATCCGTCACCCATTGAAAACATCTGGTCATGGGTTGCTGAGAGACTGGCCCACCACCCCTCTCCAGTTAATATGGTTGATGAAGTGTGGCATAGATTTGAAGAAGCATGGAATGACTTTCCCATTTCTGTAATCCAAGCTCAGTATGACTCCATGCCTAATGGATATAAGGGCTGTTTTAGCTGCTAAGGGCGGCAGCAGTTTCTACTAATTTCGCACCCCTGTAAACCTCCAAAATGCTTACAAATTTAATCATTTCATCTTCATGTCATATTGTTTACATGCAATAAATAGCTTTCTTGTATTTTCTTTACTTCATGGTGTTGCAATTTTAATGGTCAGGAGAGTATACAAGTTTTAACAACTTTGAATGTGTATGTAATTTTTTTTTTTTTTTTTGTTAATCATAGATTCACTTTTTCCCTTTTTGAAACTCGCTATGCTTACTGCCATCTGATTTGCTATGATTCTTGTGCTCATGTATGTGCACATTACCCTCATGTTGCATATTATTGTTACATTCCTTTAATAAATTCTAAAGGTAGGTAGGTCTGACATGGACCAGAAACAATACACATATAAACATTTCTAGGTCTAAAATGCTACTTGAAAACAAAGCACATTAGCCAGGCAATGCAAGTTGTCATCATTTGAGTCACTGACATGAAAATCGATACATCACAATTATAATACACAGATGGCTAAATTCAACTCACCTAATTGGCAGTTAATGGAAACAGAGAAGCTGTAGTACAATTATATCATGAAAGTAGCCCAAGAAAAGCTTGTTCAGTTATCAAACAAGACAAAGTGCTACAGTGGATCATTCAAAGAAAATAGGATGAACTGCAGTTAGGAGCAAAGGATGTGCATACCTACAATGGAAGATGCAACTGTACATTAAATGCAATCCATGTACCAGCATGCAAGTTATTTTCCATAAAAATGTCCCTTGTTCTAATACATGGTGAGAACGTCATCAAAAATGTTTACATCCCTTTTATGAGTAATGATCTCAGTCACAAGATTACAATCAGCCCATGGAATTCCCATGTTGGCTTTTCAAGCACTATGCCGAACAGCTGAACATTCTAGTGCTGGTTCTCTTCATTACTCACTAAACTACCATTTACATGAGGGAGTTTGTTCGCAATGTGGAAGTGTATGGCTGCATGACAACTCACAAGCCTCACACCTTCTAACTGCACAACAACAATTTACTATCAAAGTTTGAAAAGCGTATTTAAAGACTGTTTAATTAGACCATACTACAGTACAAAGTCTTTAATCCTGACTCGTCGGGACTTCGGCAATTCCGGATTAGGGGTTTTTCTAGATTATCAATTTAAACCTGGTAAGATGGCATGCAGAAATTATAAAATTAAAAATATGAAACCATAATTTATGAAATAAAGAGCAATTATGATCTAAAGGGTATCAAAATTTACAAAAAAAAAAAAAAAAGCTTAATATTTATTTGTTTACTTTATTAAACATTTTTCTCAATGTAAGTTGTTTAAGTTGCTTCGTTTTATGTGCTAATACTTTCGCTTTAATTCTATAAACAGACATAATTTCTAGTTCAGTTACAAAGTTCCGCTGCTCAAGTCCTGTAATTGCTGTGCCGAGAATACCGACTAACTTGTCAATCAAAATTTTTTCATTTTCACTAACCTCTCTGTCACTTTCTTCATGCCTTTATCCATTTTTTGGAGCAATTCCATTTTTTGTTTGATGGACATCGAAGCCATACATGCTTTCGCTTTGTAGATCCTTTGGCAGCTCCAGAATCGGAAACTCTTTTTGACATAATTGAAAGTTCAAGCTTACTTTTTATAAAATTGCTCTAACAGTCTGCAAAAAATAATAAGCCGGATCCAATTACAAGATTAAGGAACAACGCGATCTGCAACATTAACTGAAATAGATAATTAGATAATTTTAGCCTAGTTGATACCATACATTATACATTAAATGTGCATGCGTAAACATATTATGCACATGCATAAATGCATGTGTAAAGGTATTATGTGCATGCGTAAATGCTACACATGCGCAGAAAGTTTGTAGCTTTGAGGTCCGGATTATAGATCATTCCGGATTAAAGACTTTGTACTGTATCACTACAACTGGAAAAATGAGCCTACAGAAAAGTTGATAGCTACATGATTGTTCTAGCAGTTGCTCACAGCAGCATATGGTTTCAGCATTAACATACATCAGATCTGAAGAGAATTTTCCTGGCACTGTGGAATGGCCAATATAAAGACACTGCTTGCTATTATGATCATCAAAAAATGTTTGCACTGATTTCCTTCCTTTGAGGGTACTTCAAAAATCTTGCATGAACTCCCTGCTCAATCTGTCACTGACTTGACTGCAGGAACTACATAGGCAGCAGCATGCACTCATGCTAGAACTAGGATTTTTACACTTATTTTTTGACATATTCACATATCAGCATTGTCAAATAAGTATTACTGCTGGTCAAAGGAATTTAATTACTTGACTAGAATATATCTTTTTCATGGATTAGACTGTAATTACAGCCAAAAAATGTGTCTAATATAAATTTAAAACTTTAGAGTTTAATAATGAAAAAAAAAATTTTTTTAAACTGAAAGTTTTTTTTTTTTTTTTTAACGTTTTGTGTGTTACCTTGATTTATTAAATACTATGTTCTATATACACAAACTATAAAATTCAGTTCAACAGCAATATTGCAAATTAATTTTTAAATGAGAATATATTTACAATTTTTGAAACAGAGTCTCACAAGCTGGAGGAAAAAAATGTTCTTTTCATACAGTATTGCCACTGCTCGCTTTGAAATCGTTTAATTTTTTTAATCAAAAATTAGTTGAGGTGCTACAAAATCTGAAATCAATAATAAAACAAATTTCAAATTGAAATTAGGGTTTCCACATACCCATATTCTATGGAAGATTATGTTATTCAAATTTTGATGGCTCTAGGTACCATTGCTTTGTTATAATGCGAGAAACATACATACATTTATGCAAATTCTTCATTTGTTAATTTCTTTAAACATAAGATAGCGTTAATATATGATTGCAACAATCTGAAAAGTGATGCAGCCTTTTTAAAGTTTTTGACACAAAATGCCAAAACAAAATTAATAGTCCTTCAGGGTAAATTGCTAATATCAATAGCAATATTTCAACCTTTTTAATTTACAGAAGTTTATGTAGAAAGAGAAAATTCTCATTACGACATGGTAAAAAGACAGTTTTTATAGATTAACTTCTTTAATTATTTCACATATATAAAAGAATTTTAATATAATGAAAAGTGAATTCAAATTTTAGGAAGTGCAGATTTCTTTTAAAAAAACCTGATGCAGACATAATATGATTTCTTTATACAAATACTAAATTCTACACATTTTTTGCTGCACTTCACTTAAATTATCTTCTTTGAATTATTCTAACTTAATTAACCGATCCCTCAGAACAAGTTGAAAATGAGATCAAAAAATGCAAATTTTAAAATGAAATATCCTACTAAATTTTCGTTATAGGGAAGTCAAACGTCTTGTATTTTTGTTTTTTGATAAGTATAAAAGTTTCCCAAATATGGACCATATTAAAAGTTAGAGTTTGTTATCTGTTCAATGCTAATTTCTTTTTAAGATTTGAATTTGCCAAAACATAAATATTTTCATCATTTAAAACACTTCTGTAACTGGAAGTATATGTCTAGGATCAACAATTGCAAAAATAAAGGCTGGGTGTATTTGGCATATGATAGTAATAAAAAAGGGAGGTGCACAAATAGATGTTACAGCAGTCCCACATACAAAATTTCAACATAGCTAATTGTTTTTGAGTTATGCCACGAAAGTTATGTTTTTGAGTTATGTCACAAACATCACAAAAAAATCCATTTTCGTATCCTCTTTACAATCTGTTTTGGGACAGATAGACCTTTAATTTGTCCATGCATACAGAGGTCACACAAAAGAACAGTCAAAGTGGATGTGGATTTGGGAATGGACAAAATGGATATTTCTGTTGAAATCTGAGATCTGCTATTTTTTGCAATTGCAATACTATCTCTACTTCAATCAGGAAGTGGGGGGGGGACTGAACTGTAGAACAAACAAAATTTTACCTGAGCTTCCCCTAGGCCTAATTCAATAGACTCCAGGGTCTTTTTAATAATCGATGTCTTTTCTTCAACGACATTGTTATCACTTGGTTTCTCCTGCTGTACAGCCTTAAGAGATGTTAACAGGCCATTTAGAATGGAGTTATGTTCATTTTTCAGAGCCTCCAAACCTTGGATAACTGTTTTCGTATTAGTAATTATCTCTTCTTGTGTCATTTGAGTCATTTTGCCTATGTTTTCAATCTTTTTTCTGAAAATATCACAAGCTTTAATTAATATATATATATATATCAATCAGCTTATTATATATCATGCATATTAAGAGATAAAACTATATATACATGTACTGCATGCAATTTAAATTAATATTTAAAGACTTTTCTTTAAGACTACCATGCATCATATTTTAAAATCATACCATGCATCATATTTTAAAAGATCTTTATTATATGTTACATCTTGGAACTACTGCATACTTATAATGCATATTAAAGGCAGTAACTACACCTGTTATAATATATAAAAAGCAATAATTGTACCTATTATAATGGATATAAAAGCAATCATTATAATTAACATTATATAATTTAATTTCAAGTAGCTACATTAACTTTAAAAGACTGAAGCCAGACATTTTAATTCAGTTTTTTTCATTCATTAGATCAACAGCCATTTATAAAATTTAAGTACATCAATATTAACATTAGGGACTTTCTCATCAGAATCGTTATTTTAGTTTATATCCATATTTACACTCAGCCGTAAAATCTGAGATACCATAATTGCAATATAGTGATAATTTAAGTAATGAAAATTTAATTTTGTAGCTAATTCGAACATGTTTCAAATTTTTCAGATACATCAAACTTTAAAACTCTTAAAGACTATTCATATAATTGCCATCACCAACAGAAAATATTATAAGCTCAAACTTCATCAAAACTTTCCCACAGCATTTTATTTACTGCATATTACATTCACATTTCGTCACAGTATCTAATAAAAGAAAAGTTTAGAAACTAAGTTGCACATTACCTAATAAAAGAAAAAACTTGGAAATAAAGTTCAGATAACTCACTCAAATTTCTTACAAATGGCAGTATTTAAAATACATTACCTATTGGTAAGCTATCTAAAGTTTTGTCCCCACAAAACACCACAAGATATAGCAACCGTGTTAAAAAATTAAATCAGGTATAAATTTTTATTTATTTGTTTGTTAAAAATTAAGCTTTACATTTGGATTAAAGGAAAAAAAAAACTTTACAAATTTCATAATTAAAACACTGAAAACATTTAATTCCATTTATTTTCATCAAATATTCCACGTAATTTCACAAAAATGTCTACATTTTCCCTAAAATTTACTTTTATGCTAACCAACTATGTACTTATTAATATAAATCTGAACTTGGGAACAGTATCCAAATGACTGATCCACTTCTATACAGTGGTGTTTACTTAGGCTAATAAATAAAAATAACAGCTTTGTAAATTTTTTTTTTTTTTAAATTCCTTCATTTAATTAGGTTTAGATTATAGTTTTTAGAAATGAAGTTTAGTTAAATTAGGGTCTATAATACTGATAAACTGATTTATCTAAACTGCTAGAAAGTCTCTTCCCTCCTATAATTTTTTTTGCTTAAAGTAGTAACTAGACAAATATCATAATCAATAATTTTTCCTTAGAACAAACATTAGAAACAAGTTTACAAATGTTAGAAAAATTATCATGTTTAAAATTTGATGTAAATTTTACAGAATGGAATATGCACTAGTATGTGATACTTATTAGCATTATAATCAATTATACTGACTAATGAAATACTTTGTTTTAAAAACGCTAATTTATATTTCAGTAAGTTTACAAGGAAATTCATGTGCAATGGATTGATAAATCAAGACATGGTTTTAAGTAATATTTTTCTAATTCTGATCCGAAAAATTAGAATGAGGAAAATTGCTGTATTCTGAATCAAATTGGTAAAATTAAAGTTATGAGGAAAACTACAGAATAATTGAAAATCACAAAACATAAGTTACCAAATTACAACAAACAGCATATAATCTAAGCTCAATTCCTACAACAACACCTGCATTATTAATTTAATTAGAAACAAAATTCTGCAACACTAAGCAAGAAAAGTTACAGCTTAAAGAATACAGAACACTACATTACTATATACTTTTGACAGTAATAAACTTTATTTTTAAAAAAACTGGAAAATGAGAATAATCATACAAATCTGCCTGTGCTATTATGCTTTTTCTACAAAGAATACACTTTAAGTACACTTGATATAAATAAACTTAAGAAATGTGTATTTCATAATTTCTATAAGTAAAATAGTAAATAAAAAATTTAAAATATAATGGAATGTTCCAAGTACACATAACTGGAATTTGAAAAATTTATAAAAATACTAATATATTACAATAGAAAATAATTAAAAAATTAATAATAATTAAAAACAGTATTCAATAGTTTTACAAGCCCAAGAAAATAACCATATATTCATTTTAACTACCTTTTATAACAGGCAATAAAGACATTGCATCCAATTAACAAAAGTGTATAGAAAGACAATCTATACAGAGTGTCCTGCAGTCAGTGTGTCATTTAAGATGTAATAGGTTATGTGATTGTGAAATGAAAAGATCGGACATATTTAAACAAAAATTTATGACATCATTTCTTAGCAAATTATTTTACCTTTTTTTGAGAAATATTGGGTAGTGCATTGAAGATACTATAAACATAGCCTTTTATACAAAAATTAGTTCAAAAAAAAAAAGGAGAGCCTCAAGGGATGAGGGTATTTTTTAGAGCTAATTCGCATTTTATTGCAAAGTAGTTTACTTGAAGAACTTTGCTTTGTGACCAGAAAATTAATATCGTTCTCTGTTCTCATGCTTTTCCCCTCCATTACATATTAATATGATATAAATAAGCAGTTATGTTGTTTATATGCAACTGCACAATTTTCAGTCCAAAGAAAAAAGAAATGATATCACAGTATTTTCCAATCTAATATTTCCATTAGGTGGCTTTTCAAACTGTTTTTGAATAAGAATACAAATCTAGTGGAACCTTTAAGGAGAACCAATACCCAAGTAGAAATTGCATCATAGATATAATAACTTTAACAGCTTCATGCTGACACAATATTATCCAGCTTAAATCTCTATAAATAAGTATAGCAAAATTCTGTGTTTATATACTAAATTATCTAAATTATCCCATTCTCAAGTTAAAAAAAATAAAAAAAAAATAAAAAAAATAAAAATAAAAATAAAAATAAAAAAAAAAAAACTCAACTTATATCTGAATAATAAAATCACTGAAAGGGTTAAAAAGAATAAAATCAAAATCTAGCTGTACAAATTAGTATTATTTCAAATAAAGGTTCTCGACTTTTTATTATTAATATGAATTTCTACTAGTATTGGTTTTATATAATAACCACTGCAACTATAGATATAGATAGAAAGATAGATTGGGTAGATGGATGTAATAAATTGGAGAGGTTTGTTGCATAGATAAAATTATGAAACTTACAGATAAATGCAGTTGCTCTTACTAAATAATTTATTGCTCAACAATTAATTCTAGGAACACATATTCTTACTCATATATCATAATGAGTGCAATCTGCACCCAATCATCAAAACATTCTTTGAAATTTACATTCTTGCTTCTTTGAAATTTACATTCTTGTGTTGCAGAATTTTGTTTCTAATTACATTAACAATGCAGATGTTGTTGTAGGAATTGAGCTTAGATTATATGCTGTTTGTTATAATTTAAGACATAGAATGGATAATAGAGAGAAAAGTAAGGGACAGCATCCTAGCATGAAGCAAGCAAGCAAAGCAAAAGAGTGCACAGTTATAAAATATGGAAGCTTAGCTTAAGAGAAAGATTTTGGTTCTGCAAATTTTTAGATTAGGTTTTGAATTAGGTATATCACCTTCATTATGTACAGGACAGAAAGGGGAAATACCCAAATAAAAATGAAAAACAAAGGCGCCAAAGCAAAATTAAAACTAGTTTGCTTTCATATTTTATAGCTTACACACATATATATGTATTATGTGAAAGTTTATTTCAAATTGCAATTCTTTTACTTTATTGGCCTTTCTTAATTTAATTTGAAATATACAAATTTTAATAGCATTATTACCCCTTAATTACAATTATGTTTAATTAAATCATTGCAACCTAGGCACAGGATTCTTAAGTCTTTCCTTACATTTTTTTTATTTGCTTATGTTTTGTTTAATTACTCTTGCATCTTTTGTTGATATTCCTTTTATAATAAATTTGCTAGCAATGAAACTTATAAAAAATAATTAAGTTAACATACTATATTTTACCAAAAAAGATAACAGCAATTTTATGCAGACTATCTGTATACAAAATATAGCAAGTATGGCCAAAGTGTACCTTATGACCTATGTGTAACTCTGATCCTTTTAATGTCACTCATATTGTAGAAATTAATAGTTTCATTGCTAAACTATCATTCCAACTTAACACAGATAGTATGCTACTCTCCATGTTTTTCTAAGAATTAGTGATTGTGCCTTTAAATCATAATATTCAAATTTCAAGCTGTGCACCAATTATGTGTTTCTCTACCATGGCAAAAATAATTTTAGAACAAGTATAGGGTATCAGGTCACAGAAAAGACAAGCTACATTAGCAAGACATTACACTGATTGTGTACTCCACATCTTGCTGAATATTTTATTAACAAACAAACAAAACAAACAATAAAAACTATTTTGACAATTTATTTAATCCTTTAATTGGTAAACGGTAAAAACTAGTTTTGCTTCTGAGCAACTGTGCCAAATACAGGGTTAAAATAACTGACATCCAATTGCAATTTCTCAGCACAATGCTCCCCCCTTTTTTTTTTTACTTTTTTTTTAAAATTTTTTTTTATTTTATTTTATTTTTTTTTTTTTTATTTACTTACATGAAAAATTCTTACATGAAAAAGTTGACAACTTTTAAATAACTTTCTTATATATAATTGCAGTTCCTCTGGATAGTGCTCTTTCCCTCTTTATTTTTGAGGTACAAAAAATTATTAATTATTCCCTCAAATCACTGTGTTATTCTTCACAATAATTAAAAACTTTTTACGCTATTGTAAAGACCATTATGTTTTCTTAATTTTCAGCTTACTCCCACTAAAGTCAGTTGACAGAATCAAAAAAAATAATCTGAAATCCAGAAG